ATGCGGGTCATTCATCTCGGGGTTTGGACCGCTTTGGTTCATGTGATCAAATTTCTCCCTGTTGGCGATTCTCAGATTTTCTATCTTACATTTATGAACTATTTCCTCTGCTAGAGTATCCGAGCAAGGAATGCCTAGATATTCAGCTATTGACTTAACGGATGTCACTGGATTCTACAGAATATTTTTTAAAAAATATATTGTTTCTATTATGATGCTTTATCGGGGTAATATACTTAAAAGTTTTATGTGGTTAAATAAAGCATTGGACATAAATATGAAAATATGGACAATCTTAGATGATTGCGAGGAAATGTTAAAATTCCAAGTGAGATAATATAATATGAATTCTCATCGTCGCTCACTCCTTTCAAAGTATCCCATTAAATAGATGGAAGGCACGTAGCATCGTACTTCAAAGTGTGTGTGTTGGGGGGGGGGGGTGCAAGAAAATAGTTGACCAAAAATGAGGGAGGTACTTTCCAAACTCCAAATCCTATTTAGTGGGTAGGGCATGGGTAGGGGTTAGAAGACAACATTTACTTTTCGACCCCCTCCCCCCTTGAAAAAAATTGGATAAATTACCATTTGTGGGTTTGACCGTAATGCAACAAAAGGTGGGAAGGGGTAGTATGGAGGTAAAATTTCCTACTATGGTATTTCTAATAGATAATTCTCACAAAAACGGGCTCCTGATACTACCTACCTGGATGGAAAAGACAATCGGCCTGGGTATAGAGTAAGTCAGAACATGTAAGTGCATTAATGTTGTAAAAACTAAACTTGTGTTGAATAACACTGGTTTGTTTATACTCATTTATTAAGAATTGAGCAGTGTGTTTAAAAAGGGGGGAAAATATCAAAAATTCTCAAACTCTTCCCCCTTTTTTTCAAATTAGCATTGGAATCTTAAGATTAAGTATATGTGGTAGAAAAAAACCTTCTTCATCTCCTCGTAGTATAGACACAAGTAAGTCCTCTTTTTCTTCCTTATTTCGTTTTCCCATTCTTTGGTGTAATCAAACCAATCAATTTCTCCTATAAGTAAGTAACAACTTTATAAACAAAATACAAATGCATCGCTTATTATTTGTATGAATTATTTTTAACGTAAACCTTAACATAAAAATATGCGAGATTTAAAAACAAACAAACAGACTCTTTCTTCTCGATAATTGTATTTCTAGTAATGGAAATACATAAAATATATAGACATATACTGTTCATAATTTAATCCTTTGAATTTAATTTGGCACTTTTTCATGTAAATTAAGAAATGAAAACAATATAGATATAGCATTCAAAATATATACCTCCATAATTATTAAAGAAATACAGACAATCCTCCCAAGTCATAGTTGACGTCTTGATTTTCTGGTTTTTTTGTTTGGTTATAATAAGACACCGCTATATCTTTCGGATTTCGGAGTAAGATTAGAGCCTTTCCTTTACGCTCCAGCGATGCAGTGGGTACTTCGTTGGGATACAAATGGGAATTAAAAACTCTGGGTCTCTCCTCCTCAAATAATTTGTCCATAGAGTGAAGTTCCAACATGGCGACTTCTTTTGGTCGTTTGTCATATTCAGCCTTTCCTTTGTGTAGCATGAAAATCATCTCCCATACCCAGTGAGTACCTAAGTATAAAACAAAAAAGATTAATGCAGCAGCATTTTATATGGAACATGAGTATAACAAAAATATCTAATGGATAAGTGGGGGGGGGGGGGCAATGTAAATTCAAATTGATCAAATCGATTAGGTTCCGAGAAAAAAAAATCTATCTTCTGTAAAAGTGCAGAAAACATAATTTTATTTTCAATACTTCCCACTGGAAGAGAGAGAGTTTTGGATTTTGGCTGACTTTTTAAACAACATTAATAAATATTTGGTATGATGGTGACAGATTGAGGTTATAAGGTTCATTGATACTCTGATAAGAGAGATAACTCTTAATGACATAAATGTCTATTATTCCTCTATGAATTTGCGAAGATGAAATGTCTTTTTTGTCCAGTTTTGCCCCGCAAGCTATGCTATGATTGTTTGTATTTTACTTGTAAATACATTTCTTTTGGAAAATCATAAGAGTTAATGAGTAAGCAGAGGGTTTATAAACCTTAATGGATTGATAATACGACTCAGAAAGGTTTTTTTTACCACATTTTGGATAGGCGTAAATAAAAACATCATCATCAAATATTTCCATTATTCCGGTACATGTGTTCTTGGGTCAGGTATGAATCCGGATTCAATGAGGTCCAATAGTTTCCAGTGTCCATGCAACTTAATGTATCTCGCTATGAAATATATGTATATATTATAATAATTCAATGCTCTCTTTTTTCTCTCTCTCTTTAATGCGTTTTACCCTGCATTTGATATATAAAACTTTGTCACCAAGCGTCTAGACTTACCGATATCATACATTTTAAGTGGCTTCTCTGGGTTTTGATTGGCCATGGTTAGACAAAAATATTTATTCTGAAAAATATACGTCCCAAATTATAGTTGCAGTGGAAACATTTACATGAATAAAAATACACAGTATTGAGTACATGTATTTTAGTTTCCGCAAGATGTCATTGATGAACAGATTTTATTACCTGTGGTTTTTCCGCTGTTTGCATGATGTAAATTAATGTTATCTAGTAAGCTAAGGATAAATCGTTCAATATTTTTTTATGTACGGAGGGAGTGCCACGAAGTCAATATAAGGTTTTGTAAAATAATGCTATTTTTAGGCAGACAATGAGAACGTTACTCTCCTTCGTCTCTTCTCTATAGATAGTTTTCAGTAGGCCCAAATTAGCAAGAGTTATTTCCCGTTGGCCGCCATAATGGAGGGCAACATGCTCATATTCCTTCATTATTCAACCAACTTTAACTTTTTATACTGGCCATTGTTGGGTAGGAAGCATGTTTTTTTTCTGAAAAATATACATTTGTTAAAGCCTCCTTTATTTCATAATTTTTATTCTATAAAGATTTCTCCCCAAATATTTCTGCTACACCCTCTTAGATTTTTAAGACAAAGAGGAAAAATTACTAGGTTGACCACCAAGGGAAATAACTCGGAGAGAAAATAGGTCATATGAAAACTATCTATTCCTTCCACTTTTCTCATTTTATACATGTAGATTCTACCATTTACCCACCACCCCTTTCAGTTCTTTTTCCCCTTCATCTCCGCTACCTTCGCTTCTCCCTCGCCCTTTCCCTCTTGGCCATGACTATAACATTCTCCCATCCCCCTAATTTACTCTACCCGCTATGTCAACAGTTGCATGCTCTGTCAGAAAATGCATCTTTTACAGCATGTGCAAAAATCACTTACACTTTGGAGTTCAAATCCTTTTCATGTTCCAATTCACACGAAAAAATACAACGCGTTTTATCTAATCACCTATACAGGGCGCTTCTAGATACACAACATTAGGGAATATAATGTTTAAATACCTAGTCCAACCTTATGATCAGTGAAATCTATGTGGCCAGTCTAAAAAGAACGTTACACTTTTGTGTCTGCGGGGGGGGGGGGGGCATTTATTTCATTTCCATTTTATTTTATTGTCATTGCCAAATGACCTGCAGCAACTTTATTTCAAAATTTGACTAAAAAAATTGACTAAAAAAAAAAAAAAAGAAAAAAATCATGCTTGAACTCGAAAATCCTATTTCGTGGCAGAGGGTGGAGGTCTACTAGGATCTTTCTCTAACTTCTCGATAATTGTTTATTTTATTATTATTTTTTCAATGCAAGACTTCCAGAGTTCGACCATATTGCAAGATAAAGTGAAAGGGGGGGGGGGGGCAATCAGCCTATAAATGAAAATCTCATATTCAAACTACAGCGAAAGACTATTCTCAAAAATAGAGGGTTCCCCCTCGTCCTTACTCGTGTTACTGACAGAGAAGACAAGCCGTAGAAAAAGGTTTTCGGAATTACATTTTTGATTATAAAATGTTAGTAAAATTTATTACCTAAAAAAAAAAAAAAATAACTTCGGAAGCCCATTGAGGCCAGTTCAGAGAAAGAAATTATTGCGTTTAAATTCAGTAATTTTTGCGTTTAAACGCAATAATATTGCGATTATTATTATTATTGCGTTTAAAAACACAATACTATTGCGTTTAACTAAACGCAATGAAAAATAGTTCTTTCTCTGAAATGGCCTCAACGGGCTTCCGTAAATAACAGTGTTCATTAACATATTTCTTTTGAATTTTTGACAATGCACAATTTGACTGCGAGTCTGAACTACTGAATAAATTGAAAAAAAAAGTCTTCTTTTCTCTCATCATCAGGATGAGTTGATTCTATAAATACAACAAAATTTTTTAAAAAACTCAGTGTTGTTTAGACAGGAAGTGTGAGTGAATTGAGAATAGACGCAATTCCATTTGATTGCTTCAGAATGACCAGGACAGTCAAGATTTCACAAACTGTGCCTTGTTTCTGAGAGATTTACAACAATACTGCACCTTTTGTTTGTTTGTTTGTATGTTGTTTAACGTCCCTCTCGAGAATTTTTGACTCATATGGAGACGCCACCACTTGCCGGTGGAGAGCTGCAAATTTTGTCCTATACTCGGCACTTACGGCCATTGAGCAGTAAGGGATCTTTTTCGTACCAGCACCTAAAGCGACACGGGACCTCGGATTGTACGGTCTCATCCGAGGAACTGGTCTCCACGTCCCGCAGTGGGATTCGAACCCGCGACGTAAGGATGAACTCTTTACTTCGCGACTCTAGAGAAGACGCTCTAACCACTACGCCACGCTGGACTGCACCGTTTGTAAAAAGGTCTTAATCAAAGAAAAACACATCAAAAGTATGCAGGATCCTTTGTTGTAAAACCTTTCTTGTAGGAATGACGGTTAATGAAACTAACTAGTACGGACGTTTATAAAGAATGACGAAGTAGAGAGATTTCTTTAAAACTTTTTTTTATTATTTCATTTGAATATAGAAAAATTGAATGTAATATGTTCATTTGTTCTTCAATCCCAAGTCATTGAATTAAAATAGACTTATTCAAAAGCAAATTGAAAATCTGAATCTACAATCTTTGTTTTAAAAAAAATATCAAACTCCTCGCTTTGAGCCACAGTGAACCAATTCTTCCAGTCTCCAACTTCTCCTGCAAAACAAATCAAAAGTTTCCTGTATAAAAATAAAACTCGACCATTAAGACCAGTGAACATTACTTTTCTGTATAGATCTGCCATTATTATATTTCAACCATAGATTACTTTAATTAAAGCTGTATATGGCTTATCTGAGCTAAAAAAAAATAAAATAAAATACGAGATTGAATGTAGATGAACATAATATTTGTTATTTACGTTCAAATTAAAATTTTCACCGATTTTGAACTTGAATAACCCCACGTTTCTATTGTTAAAATGACTTAAAACTGGGCCTGATATTTAAATGCGGAGTCGGTAAATAAATCGGTTATTGTTTTAAATTTCTAATATCTATGAAACACGATTGATTTAAATTGTGTAATTTACAGGAAAGTCCTATCTTTATACAAAGAAATAAAGCAAATAAGAAGATCTTTTTAATTTTAGTTAATCAAAACTTATCAAAAATACGCCATAAATGACTTTAAGAACAGTTTTACAAGCCTTAGGCTCTATAAAACCAGTGGCGTAGCGCCCTTTACGCAACAACGCAAATGAATACACAGATTTTTCAACAAAAATAATTAAATATTTTTTTTAAAAAAATATGTCAAAAGTTTAACAATAGATGAAAGAAATAGGTTTTAGAATTTTAAAAAAAATCTAGATTTATTTTATCCATATTTTCAGATTTTATATAAGATCTTTGCTGTAGTGTACTTCTCGTTTCATGTAATGGTTTTATCATTTCAAGAACGAATTTCGTAATATTGTCAATTCAAAAGAAATAGCAAATCATAAAAAAGGCTATTTACGAATTCCCCTAATAATTTCATTACCCAAATGCACTGTACCAGTGGTATAATTTCAAAACAATCGATAAATAAAATGTAATATGTAATGGAGAACGTTCAATTTTTTTTTTGGTGATTGGATATATACGGAATTTAATTCGCATATATGCTAATAAAAATCTGTATTACTTGTGAAGTAAATTCTACAACATCTACCAAAACATTGATTTTGTTTATAGCTTTTGCTTTGGTTTTCCTTTAGTCCATAATAGTTGTCTCTTTCTTTATCAAAATTAAAAAATAACATTGCCAGGTAATGTAAATAACAATGTTTATTCATGATAACCAGAAATGCTTTAAGAAAAGGATTTTTTGGAGCTATAAGTATTGTCAAAACTAGGCACTTTTATATGAAAATATTGAGTTGAACTACGATGGTAAAAAATGAAATATTTCAAGGTAATTATATAATTCAAAACTCCTCAAGGCTTCCCCAGAGCCCTTGCCTTATTGGAATATAGAAAAAATTTTGCTAGCTGCGCCACTGATTAAACCCACTCAGACAAAATAAAAATGCTGAAACAAAATACCTCGAACTTACATGTATAGGGAATTATTTGGGTCAATATCTTGTTATTTCAAAAATTTTAAAATTTTGCGACGCAGTAATGACAAAATCTTAGAGCCAATATTAAATAATTTATTGCCATGTCCAAATAAATCTTCGCGTGAACTCAGAAGTACCATTTAAACATTAAACTTACCTTTTCTGTACATTTTATCCGGGTCATTCATCTCGGGGTTTGGACCGCTTTGGTTTCTGTGATCAAATTTCTCCCTGTTGGCGATTCTCAGGTTTTCTATCTTACATTTATGTACTATTTCCTCTGCTAGAGTATCCGAGCAAGGAATGCCTAGATATTCAGCTATAGACTTAACGGATGTCACTGGATTCTACAGAATAAATTTTAAAAAATATATTGTTTCTATTATGATGCTTTATCGGGGTAATATACTTAAAAGTTTTATGTGGTTAAATAAAGCATTGGACATAAATATGAAAATATGGACAATCTTAGATGATTGCGAGGAAATGTTAAAATTCCAAATGAGATAATATAATATGAATTCTCATCGTCGCTCACTCCTTTCAAAGTATCCCTTTAAATAGATGGAAGGCACGTAGCCTCGTACTTCAAAGTGTGTGTGTTGGGGGGGGGGGTGCAAGAAAATAGTTGACCAAAAAAGAGGGAGGTACTTTCCAAACTCCAAATCCTATTTAGTGGGTAGGGCATGGGTAGGGGTTAGAAGACAACTCTTACTTTTCGAACCCCCCCCCCCTGAAAAAAATTGGATAAATTACCATTTGTGGGTTTGACCGTAATGCAACAAAAGGTGGGAAGGGGTAGTATGGAGGTAAAATTTCCTACTATGGTATTTGTAATAGATAATTCTCACAAAAACCGGCTCCTGATACTACCTACCTGGATGGAAAAGAGAATCGGCCTAGGTATAGAGAAAGTCAGAACATATAAGTGCATTAATGTTGTAAAAACTAAACTTGTGTGAAGAAAGTTGAATAACACTGGTTTGTTTACACTCATTTATTAAGAATTGAGCAATCTGTTTAAAAAGGGGGGATATCAAAAATTCGCAAACTCGTCCCCCTTTTTTTCTAATTAGCATTGGAATCTTAAGATTAAGTATATGTGGTAGAAAAAAAACCTTCTTCATCTCCTCGTAGTATAGACACAAGTATGTCCTCTTTTTCCTCGTTATTTCGTTTTCCCATTCTTTGGTGTAATCAAACCAATCAATTTCTCCTATAAGTAAGTAACAACTTTATAAACAAAATACAAATGCATCGCTTATTATTTGTATGAATTATTTTTGACGTAAACCTTAACATAAAAATATGCGAGATTAAAAAAAAAACAAACTCTTTCTTCTCGATAATTGTATTTCTAGTAATGGAAATACATAAAATGCATAGACATCAACTGTTCATAATTTAATCCTTTGAATTTAATTTGGCACTTTTTCATGTAAATTAAGAAATGAAAACAATATAGATATAGCATTCAAAACATATACTAGTACCTCCATAATTATTAAAGAAATACAGACAGTCCTCCCAAGTCATAGGTGATGTCTTGATTTTCTGGTTTTTTGTTTGGTTATAATAAGACACCGCTATATCTTTCGGATTTCGGAGTAAGATTAGAGCCTTTCCTTTACGCTCCAGCGATGCAGTGGGTACTTCGTTAGGATAGAAATGGGTATTAAAAACTCTGGGTCTCTCCTCCTCAAATAATTTGTCCATAGAGTGAAGTTCCAACATGGCGACTTCTTTTGGTCGTTTGTCATATTCAGCCTTTCCTTTGTGTAGCATGAAAATCATTTCCAATACCCAGTGAGTACCTAAATATAAAGCAAAAGATTAATGCAGCAGCGTTTTATATGGAACATGTGTATAACAGAAATATCTAATGGATAAGTGGGGGAGGGGGGGGGGGGGACAATGTAAATTCAAATTGATCAAATCGATTAGGTTCCGAGAAAAAAAATCTATCTTCTGTAAAAGTGCAGAAAACATAATTTTATTTTCAATACTTCCCACTGGAAGAGAAAGAGAGAGAGAGAGAGTTTTGGATGTTGGCTGACTTTTTAAACAACAATAATAAATATTTGGTATGATGGTGACAGATTGAGGTTGTAAGGTTCATTGATACTCTGATAAGAGAGATAACTCTTAATGACATAAATGTCTATTATTCCTCTATAAATTTGCGAAGATGAAATGTCTTTTTTGTCCAGTTTTGCCCCGCAAGCTATGCTAAGATTGTTTGTATTTTACTTGTAAATAAATTTCTTTTGGAAAATCATAAGAGTTAATGAGTAAGCAGAGGGTTTATAAACCTTAATGGATTGATAATACGACTCAGAAAGGTTTTTTTTTTTTTTACCACAATTTGGATAGGCGTAAATAAAAACATCATCATCAAATATTTCCATTTGACGGAGTTCCGGTACATGTGTTCTTGGGTCAGGTATGAATCCGGATTCAATGAGGTCCAATAGTTTCCAGTGTCCATGCAACTTAATGTATCTAGCTGTGCATCCGCTTGGACATTTTCGTTCAATTATTTCTTCGCCCTCGAAACTCGCTATGAAATATATGTATAGTAATATATTGTAATAATTGAATGCTCTCTTTTTTTTCTCTCTCTCTTTAATGCGTTTTACCCTGCATTTGATATACAAAATTTTGTCACCAAGCTTAAGCATCTAGGCTTACCGATATCATACTTTTTAAGTGGCTTCTCTGGGTTTTGATTGGCCATAGTTAGACAAAAATATTTATTCTGAAAAAGATATACGTACGGAAGCCCAATAGTGCAAACCAAAAATAAATAAAAAATAAAAAACGAAATTATTAAATAAAGAAAACGAAATTATTATATAAAGAAAAACGAAATTATTAAATAAAAAACAAACGAAATTATTATATAAAGAAAACGAAATTATTAAATAAAAAACAAACGAAATTATTAAGTAAAGAAAAAATGAAATTATTAAATAAAAAACTGAAACTAAAATACGGAATTTATAGATGTGCATGGTAAGGGCCTGAACCTATGAATCATTCCATAAAGCACACGTGTTCTATGACCTGATTTTGTTTCGACATTAAAACAAGTGTGATATTTTCATTTACACTCAGCTATTCCCATAACATAACCAGTTGCAGTAGACAATCACAATACATGAATAGGGAGAATTTTACCTTTGGTTATCCAATATGCTTAGATCTGTTTTTATCTTACATTAACATGATTAATGTGAACTTTGACCAGTCTGATGAATTGGTCAGTAATGACAAGTTTTCGTTAACAATAGCTTTCTTAAACTCTCAGCTCAGAAGGTCTACTTGTAATTATGAATCTGGAGATGAAATCAAAGAGATTATGCTAATAAATTGCACAATTATTTAAGATATACATGTCTGTTAAGATTCCGTTGTTTACAATTGGTGAACTTTTTAACATTTAGGAAATTCCCATAGCTATGCATCATTTTCAATTATCGCACAGTACAAAAATGCTGTAAAATAATACATAACCGATCGGAATTTTGCGGGTTTGTTTGACATTATCAAAAACTGTTTAAAGAGAGCAAGTGCAAAAATTAAACAAGTCAAAGTGGTTACAATGAGTAGATTTTAATGATTGCTTACTTTATTAAAAATTAAGCAAAACACTTCTAATTTCTTGGTCATTTTATCAAAGCATAATTAGAAGTGATGCGTTAACCATTTGTTCTCACATATTCTAAATGACAAATTCTCGATCTGTATTTATAAGTCAGTGATAGTTGTGAACAAACAATGCACACGCTAACTTGCATAACAAATCCCACAAACTATTCAAATCATTCTCTCTATTGTTTCAACAACCTAAGATTTATGGTACACAGATAGGGCGCTAGGTTTAGTTCGGGGGGAATTCAGCAATACGATACGCAAGGTCTTGACCTTTCAGCGATTCATGAGCTCTTTTGGAATGCCATTAATAAGCAGAAACAGCCATCATCGCTACGTCCAGGCTTACAGGCTCATACTTTGACGTTGTGGGGATGTGACACAGCATTAAATTTCCGTAAACAAAATTGAACAGTTATGAATCATTTACTTTAAAAATTGTGAATTATAGGCTGTGGGCACATAATGTTTTTCTAAGTTTGTCAATTTGACATTTATCTAAGTTCTTTTTAATTTTTTATTTCCCCACACTTGTTTTAATGTCGAGGTCTGTAGACATGATAGAATTACTAAGTGATGCTTTATAACACGTTCGCTTTATGGAATGATTCATGGGTTCAGGCCCTTACCATGCACATATATCAATTCCGTATTTTAGTTTCAGTTTTTTATTTAATAATTTCGTTTTTTATTTAATAATTTCGTTTTCTTTATTTAATAATTGCGTTTTCTTTATCTAATCATTTCGTTTTCTTTATTTAATAATTTCGTTTGTTTTTTATTTAATAACTTCGTTTTTAGCTCTACTGGTCAGAGACCGGAAGAGCTTATGCGATAGTAAGGTGTCAGTCGTCCGTCCGTCTGTCTGTCTGTCCGTCTGTAAACAATTTTTCAAAACGCTACTCCTCCTACAGTTTTGGTCTGATTTCAATATAACTTTGCACATAAGTAGACTATTCTAAGATACATAATTCTGTTTATCGGATTTTGATTTCAATGAATGGTATTGCCATGGTTACTAAAAATAGAGATTTCTGGGAAATACTTTCAAAACGCTACTCCTCCTACAGTTTTGGTCTGATATCAATATAACTCGGCACACAAGTAGACTACACTAAGATACATAATTCTGTGTATCGGTTTTTGATTTCAATGAACGGTGTTGCCATGGTTACTAAAAATAGAAATTTCTGTGATAAACATTCAAAACGCTACTCCTCCTACAGTTTTGATCTGATGTCAATATAACTTGGCACACAAGTAGACTATAATAAGATACATAATTCTGTGTATCGGATACTGATTTCAATGAATGGTGTTGCCATGGTTACTAAAAATAGAGATTTCTTGGAAATACATTCAAAACGCTACTCCTCCTACAGCTTTGGTCTGATTTCAGCATAACTTGGCATACAAGTAGACTACACTTAGATACATAATTCTCTATATATGTACCAGTTTTGGATTTCAATGAACAGTGTTGCCATGGTTACTAAAAATAGCAATATCTGAAATACTTTCAAAATGTTACTCCTACTACACTTTTTGTCTGATTTCAGTATAACTTGGCATACAAGTAGACTTCACTGAGATACATAATTGTCGATATTGTTTTTTTGATTTTGTTGAATGATGTCGCCATGGTTACTTAAATCCATATTTCTGTAAAATTGTTTTAAAAGGCTACTCCTCCTACAGTTTTAGTCTGATTGCAATAAATCTTGCCACAAAAAGAGACTAAACCAAGGATCATTATTCTATTTATTGCTGTTGCAAAGTTTCAAGTACAAGTGCTACTTTTATCTTCCTTTATAAGTACAACCAGTAGAGCTACAGTCTCGTCATAGATGGCGACCAAGAGAAATAACTCGGAGCGAAAATATGTCATATGAAAACTATCTAATCCTTCCACTTTCTCACTATACATGTAGATTCTACCATTTACCCACCACCCCTTTCAGTCCTTTTTCCCCTTCATCTCCGCTACCTTCGCTTCTCCCTTGCCCTTTCCCTCTTGGTCATGACTATAACATTCTCTCCCCCCCCCCCCCAATTTACTCTGCCCGCTATGTCAACAGTTGCATGCTCTGTCAGAAAATGCATCTTTTACAGCATGTGCAAAAATCACTTACACTTTGGAGTTCAAATCCTTTTCATGTTCCAATTCACACGAAAAAATACAACGCGTTTATATCTAATCACCTATACATGTATAGAACGCTTCTACACCTGTACACAACAGTACGTAATATAATGTTTAAATACCTAGTCCAACCTTATGATCAGTGAGATCAAAATATGAATATAATACGCAGTAAATTATGATATTTTCATACAATTTGAGATGTTGATTTTTCGATGACACGTGAAACCTTCCGGCCTATGTGGCCAGTCTAAAAAGAACGTTACACTTTTGTGTGTGCGTGGGGGGAGGGAGGGGGCATTTAATTATTTCATTTCCATTTTATTTTGTTGTCATTGCCAAATGACCTGCAGCAACTTTATTTCAAAATTTGACTAACCAAAAAAAAAAAAAAAAAAAAAAAAAAAAAAAAAAAAAAAAAAAGAAAAAAAAAATCATGCTTGAACTCGAAAATCCTATTTCCTGGCAGAGGGTGGAGGTCTACTAGGATCTTTCTCTAACTTTTCGATAATTGTTTTTTATTATTATTATTTTTTCAATGCAGGACTTCCAGAGTTCGACCATATTGCAAGAAAAAGTGAAAGGGGGGGGGGGGGGGGGGCAATCAGCCTATAAATGAAAATCTCATTAAAAACTATTAAAACTACAGCGAAAGACTATTCTCAAAAGAAGAGGATTCCCCCTGGTCCTTACTCATTCTACTGCCAGAGAAGACAAGCCGTAGAAAAAAGTTTTCCCAATTACATTTTTGATTATAAAATTTTAGTAAAATTTATTTCCTCAAAACAAATAACTTCGGAAGCCCATTGAGGCCAGTTCAGAGAAAGAAATTATTGCGTTTAAATTCAATAATTTTTGCGTTTAAAAGCAGTAATATTGCGATTATTATTATTATTGCGTTTAAACGCAGTACTATTCCGATTAAACACAATACTATTGCGTTTAATTAAACGCAATGAAAAATAGTTCTTTCTCTGAAATGGCCTCAACGGGCTTCCGTAAATAACAGTGTTCATTTACATATTTCTTCTGAATTTTTGACGATGCACAATTTAACTGCGAGTCTGAACTACTGAATAAATTTTAAAAAAAATTCTTCTTTTCTCTCATCAACAGGATGAGTTGAATCTATATATACAACAAAATTTTAAGACAGGAAGTGTGAGTGAATTTAGAATAGACGCAATTCCATTGGATTGCTTCAGTATCCATGACAGTTAAAATTTCACAAACTGTGCCTTGTTTCTGAGAGATTTACAACAATACTGCACCTTTTGTTTGTTTGTTTGTATGTTGTTTAACGTCCCTCTCGAGAATTTTTGACTCATATGGAGACGCCACCACTTGCCGGTGGAGAGCTGCAAATTTTGTCCTATACTCGGCACTTACGGCCATTGAGCAGTAAGGGATCTTTTTCGTACCAGCACCTACTGCGACACGGGACCTCGGATTGTACGGTCTCATCCGAAGGACCGGTCTCCACGTCCCCCAGTGGGATTCGATCAACTCCTTACTTCGCGACTCTTAGAGCAGACGCTCTAACCACTACGCCACGCCGGCCTGCACCTTTTGTAATTAAAGGCCTTAATCAAAGAGAAACACATCAAAAGTATGCAGGACCCTTTGTTGTAAAACCTTTCTTGTAGGAATGATGTTTAATGAAACTAACTAGTACGGACGTTTATAAAGAATGACGAAGTAGAGAGATTATTTTCTTTAAATCTTTTTTATTATTTCGTTTGAACGTAGAAAAATTGAATGTAATATGTTCATTTGTTCTTCAATACCAAGTCATTGAATTAAAATTGACTTATTCAAAGGCAAACTGAAAATCTGAATCCGCCATCTTTTTTCTAAAAACTCTATCAAACTCCTCGCTTTGAGCCACAGTGAACCAATTCTTCCAGTCTCCAACTTCTCCTGCAAGACAAATCAACAGTTTCCTGTATTAAAATAATATTCGGCCATTAAGACCAGTGGGCATTACTTCTCTCCACTGATCTGCCATAATGGTTCTTTTTTTTCAGATTTAACCATAGATTATTTTAATTAAGAACAGTTTTGCAAGGCCTTATAAAACCCATTCAGACAAAATGAAAATGCTAAAACAAAATACCTCGAACTTACATCTATAGGGAATTATTTGGGTCAATATCTTGTTATTTCATAAATTTTCTAAAATTCTGTCAGTCTCAGATTCAATATTAACGAGGTTCGCTCCTGAGCTTTTGATCAGATTTATATCTTAACCTATATTTTAAAAATTCTGCATAAAGTTTTAATTCTTACAATAAATTTGGATTCTACAATGCCAATTAAACTATATTTAGTTAAAACTCCATGATTAAATTCCATACCAAAAGCAATAAGTCAGGAACTATATTTTGTGGCGGAAGGTTTTTTAGAAGAAAATGATCATTTTTTCTCTTTCGAAGTGTTTAAAGTATGTTAAGTTTGGGTTCCTATTTTTCCATGCAGCCTGCACACAAAGTTATTTTGTACAGTGAACTGTTTTATACTGGTCCTAAATTGTATATCAAATAAACTGTCATAGATTCTATCATCATATTTCATAAATATAGCAAATATATTGTGAAAATCAGGAAAAAAATATCCCTATTTTAAGCTTAAAATTAGCACTATTTTAGTAATATCTAAAAATTTACATCACAGACCCCCACTTTTTATTTTATTTTCTGAATATATAAGATACTTTTAACCATTCTTCTTAAATTCAGTAAAATGTCATTACTTTCAAATTATTTTTTTGCTTGTTAAATGTTTAATGCCAGAAAAATGAAATTTTTTGGGTGCAAAAAGGTCAAATAATTGAACATGCGGAGTAATTTGAATTTTTTTTTGTTGTGACAAATTTTAATGTGTCTATTCGAGAAGAAATAAGGCTGTGTTTGTTCCCATAATTTATTTGAATAAAAAATATTGGAGGAAAAACTTTAAAAATTGATTATGTGTAAGACGTATTTACAGTGCAAAAAGGTCAAACTAAATGCTCTGTACCGCCAAAAGAAGCGCATTGACCCCCAGGTTTTGTTTTGATTTTTAATTAAGCTATGTGTATAAATTCTTAAAATATACTTGATAAAAAATTCTCATTACTTTTGGTGGCAGGATCCAACCTCCTTAAACAATTTATTGCCATGTCCAAATAAATCTTCGCGTGAACTCAAAAGTACCATTTAAACAATCCCTCACCAGAGGGCGTAAATACGCTTTGCTACAACACCTCTGTCAACGTCTGAATGTCAAGATTCTTGGCAAAACTTACTTTGACCTATTGCGTCATAAATTAAAATTTTAAAAGTTACATATTTTAGCTTTAAATTTTAAAGTAAAGTTTATTTATGAAAATTAGAAAAAGATGTATCTGTATCATCGTATCTTACAAGGGATTATTTCTCAGCGGAATATTGCATCACTAATGTAGACATATATGGAGAACGTGGAAAAATCAAATAGCATTGCCGACAAATATCAACATGGTTTAGTTCTTAAAGACAACCAACTTTCAGCATTGACACATATACCGAAAAGTCAAGGTAATACGTGTGTTAATTTTCCTGGATAAACAGAAGGCCACGTGTCTCAGTTTTCCGTACTACTTTTTAGACGTTGACAGAGTATTGCCATTTAAACATAAAACTTACCTTTTCTGTACATTTTATCCGGGTCATTCATCTCGGGGTTTGGACCGCTTTGGTTTCTGTGATCAAATTTCTCCCTGTTGGCGATTCTCAGGTTTTCTATCTTACATTTATGAACTATTTCCTCTGCTAGAGTATCTGAGCAAGGAATGCCTAGATATTCAGCTAAAGACTTTAGTGTTGTAAGTGGATCCTACAGAAAATTAATACAAGAATGAGTCACTTCACGTTTGGGTAAAAATATGAAATCAAGGAACATCTTGGAACATTATGATGAAAATATAAAAATGCTAGGTAAGGTCGCGTAAACTAATCTATAGATTCTCATCTCCGACACCCATTCTTAGTGTGTCCTGTCCCATACTTTGTGTGTTATTTGTTTGAGAATTAAAAAAAACAATAGGCCTGGCTATAAGGAAAAAAGGTTGGAATATGTACAGTAAAACTTGTCTTATCTGGAGTCCACTGATTCCAAAGAAATTAGCCCGATTAGACAACATTCTGGATTAGAAAACAAGAATTTAGATCGTTTTAGACACGATTTCTGAATATACAACATCCTGATTAGACAAGTTTCACTGTACGTGCTTACACGTTGTAAAAATTAAATTTGTATAAGGAAAACTGGATATTAAACGCTGGCTTGTGAGATTTATATACTTCGTTGGCTTTAAATAATGACGTGGAAAATTAAACTGTGTAAAAAGAATGACGTACAAATGTTTCAACAATTGAAAAATTCACAACCCTATTTTTGTTTTTTTCTTTGGTAAAAGTATATGTGGTTACAAAAAACGTTAACCTTCTTCATCTCCTCGTAGTATAGACACAAATAATTCCTCTTTTTCTTCTTAATTTCGTTTTCCCATTCTTTGACGTAATCAAAAAAATCAAATCTACCTACAAATGCATAAGAAATTTGTTAATGTAAATCTTTATACATGTATAAGAAAAAAAAATTGCTTCTAATTTGTAATTTATGTGAGATTACAAATATGTGAGATTAAAAAAAAAATTAATTCTTCTTTTCTCAAGAATTAAAAAATCAGCAATCAAAGAGATGAAAATTGTTAAGATGTACTGTTGATCCCTTGAATTATGGTGTCTTTATGGAACAAAATAAAAACTTATGCCAAAAGTAAATGGGAAGAGAGCAGGGTTAAGTTTGGGGTGTACCCATAGTAATTTTGCCAGTACATACATGTAATACAATAAAACGTCAAAGTCAATTTTGTGATATACCCCCTCAGTAACGTCTTAGGGCCCCTTTTTTCATCCCCTTTACCCCAATCTGAAATTGCATTCGAAATGCAACATAGTTATTGCATGTAAACTTCATACCTCCATAATTAATTAATAAATGCACACAATCCTCCCATGTCATAACTGCCGTGTTGACTTTCAGGTCTTTTATATGGTTATAATAAGACACCGCTATATCTTTCGGATTTCGGAGCAAGATTAGAGCTTTTCCTTTACCCTCCAGCGATGCAGTGGGTACTTCGTTGGGATTAAGATGGGTATTAAAAACTCTGGGTCTCTCCTCCTCGCATAATTTATCGACAGAGTGAAATTCCAACATGGCGACCTCTTTCGGTCGTTTGTCATACTCACCCTTTCCTTTGTGTAGCATGAAAATCATTTCCCAAATCCAATGGGTACCTACATATGTAAAACAGACGTTCTCTCAGTAGCGTTTACATTTGTATGAGGACAGAAACTCGAATGGGTTTTTAAAAATCCAATTATTCTTTTTAATTTGATTATGATCTGATTGCATTGTTTGGTTTTGTTTTTTATGTGTTACAAAACTGCAGAAACCGTAAAGAATATATAGTTTTCAGTACTTTTTTTCTGGAGAGATAGAGAATCAGATTAATAAATTCTAGTTCTTCTTTTGGTAGATTATCTGGCAACATTAATAAAATATTTGATATAATTTTGACAGATAGCAGATAAAGGAAACTACGTTGATTGACAGGTTATTCATACCACACTTGGGATAGGCGTAGATAAACACATCATCATCAAATACTTCCATTTTACGGAGTTCGGGTACATGTGTTCTTGGGTCAGGTGCGAATCCGGTTTCGATAAATTCCAGTGGTTTCCAGTGTTCGTGCAATTTAATGTATCTAGCTGTGTATCCGCTTGGACATTTTCGTTCGATTATTTCTTCGCCCTCAAAACTCGCTATTAATAAAATATTACACAATTATTAAATGTCTGATCAGTCAAAAGACCAGAATATTTTTCCCAAGGTTCTGGGAACAGCTCAATGTATTGACCTGTTCTCAGCACCGAGGGAAAATATTATGGTCTACTGACTGATCAGACATTAAATAACTGTTTTATTACCTAATAATTTACTAAAAGTATATGTGCACTGCCGGCCGGTACAATAGATCGCCGGTCCGAAATTTACAAACTATTGACCAGCGGTCGAATAGATTACACTGAAATTCCAGCTCTTAAATAGTTCAAGGGAAGAATATACAGAGAAAATAGTCAAATATATTACATATCTAATAAAACGGCAAAATCAGTTGTATTAGGTAAAATTTAATTATATACCTCAATTTCATGTCACTGTCCTCTTTTGCAGGCACGCAATATCGCTAGGATGTAGCCCCCCCCCCCCCCCCCCCATCACCACTTTTCTCCAACATAATTTTTTACAAATAATTCACTTTGAAAATGTTCAATAAAAGGCCGATTGCACCCCCCTCCCCTAGTTTTTTGCAATATAGTTAAATCCTTCCATGTTTAGGTATTCAATTGATAAAATACATGTACATTCTAAATTTAAAAAAAAAAACGTTTCTTGAGCTTGGACAATTTCCTTTTTTTTCTTTTACTTTAATAAGATCTTTTTAAGTACACTGCAAATTGTCATCATTTTCTGACCCCCTCCCCCATCCCTCTATCAAAAATGATGCTACGTTCCTGTTTTTGAAATACATTTTTATAGTATACAGATTTGTCACCAAACTTACCAATTCCAAATATATTCCAGACTTACCAATGTCATACTTTTTTGGTGGCTTCTCTGGGTTTTGATTGGCCATAGTTAAACAAAAAGATTTATTCTGAAAAAAATACAGCGAAATTAGTGAAAGTGCACGTGAAAACATTGCAGGAGTGCAGAACATGACACAATATTGTTGAGTACATGTATTTTAGTTTCACAATGAATCGATAAAATCATTGCTTTGCCCCTGCATGTAATCAGGTTAGATCAATACCCATTATAGTCTTTTTCAAAAATATACAATATCTTTGATAAAGTTTATAGTTGACAGATAAATGTGAGAAAAGCAAGACACTTTGACAAACTTGGACTGAAACTACATACTAGGGTCGCGCATGAACTGAATACTAGAATACGACTAAAGAAATAGTAGTATTTTCCAAAAAAATACGCATATACCATTCAATATAATTTATTGATAAAAAAAAAATTGCAGGCAGTCTTCTTCCATCCATTGCACGACTTTTATACGTTCAAACTTCTGCTATGTTATTATAAAATCGATCATTAAATTTAAAGTACGTCTTTATAACTCCAAACGATTCTTAATGCCTATGATGTACGGTAATAATATCAATCCTTGGAATAGTTGTTTACGTCGGATATTACAGTACGAAACAAGATGTGTTTGTGAAACACTGATGCCCCCGTATGGCAAACTTTTAGCAAAGGTTAAACTTTCTCAAATGCAAATCAAATATGTTGGTACCCAAAGTAAGGCCTTGTCTCGAGGAATATACCTGTGAAATACGAAAGCCCTAGCACCAACCGTTCAAAAGTTATGGCCAAGGTTAAAGTTTTCCAAAAGTAGTTCAAACTCCAAGGTCAAGGTCAAAGGGTCAAAGTTGTTGGTATCCAAAGGAAGGTCTTGTCACAAGGATTACACATGTGAAGTATAAAAGCCTTAGCACCAATTGTTCAAAAGTTATGGCCAAGGTTAAAGTTTGATAAAATTTTGCAAAACTGGGTCAAACTCCAAGGTCAAATATGGTTGTACTCAAAGATAGGTCTTGTCATAAGGAATACACATGTGAAATATGAAAGCCATAGCTCTAACTAATCAAAAGTTATGGCCACTTTTGGGCAAGGTTAAAATTTTTTGCGGACAGACAGACAGACGGACGGACAGGGCAAAAACTATGTACCCCCGAATCTTCGATACGGGGGCATAAAAACGACTGTTGAAATATTACATGGGATCATTCCGCTGTTTGCAATGTACAGAATGTTTCAAGTAAATACACGGGTAATAAAAGTTAATGTAAATATAGAGTATGTGCATAGAGTATACATGCTAAAACTCTATACTCACATTAATTACATGCACTTACTCTATATCTTCATTAACTTCCAGTGTCCGTGTGTAAATTAATTAGTGTTGTTCATGCGTATCGTCTAATCTTTTTAAAATGGAGGGAGGGTCGCACAAAGTACATCAAAGTTTTGTAAAATATTAAACATTGTAGGTGGACGTACAGTAAGAACACCTCCCTTTTCCGTCTCTTCCCCATTCCTTCAACTGTCCCTTCCCCATCTACCACCTCCTCTTTCTCCTTCCCCCATCCCCTTAATTATCACCCCCAAACTCACTCGTCTATCTCATCCTTCCCACAAAAGGGCTTGCTCCTGGAGTGTAAAAAATATTAAAAAATCCAACTGCTAAAACTAGTAGCTGGTGTATGATTTTTTAAATAAACAGTTTTTACACTCTGGGAACAAGCCCCTGTGCTTCCCCTGGGTTTGCTCACCGCCCTGCCATTTTTTCTCCCCCTCCCTGGTTCTGCCAATAATAGGTATAAAAACATAGAAAACTTTGTTAGAAAATGCAACTTTTAAAGCATATGGCAATCACTTACACTTTGAAGTTCAAATCCTGTTCCAATTCACACAAAAGTATCGCTTACAGCTTTCCGCAGCTCTTCACTGTCACGAGACTTCTTTTGTTTTACCTAGTCCGACCTTATGCTCAGTGAGGTCAAAATGTGAATACGGTACGTAGATAAATTCTGAAATTTACCATTGAGTTAATAAACCTTCCAGTGTGGTCTAAAATTAGAACATATCACACTTTATTATTGTGTATGAGAGTTATACTGTTGTCGTTGCCAAATGACTGGCCCGTTACAAAAAGGTGCGTTATCTCTCCTACAGGGTGTTTCATAATATATGTTACGGTTTTGAATCTACATGTATGTATATATGAGTTAACAAACACAAGAAATAGATACAGAGAAAAGAAGTTGTTTTTTTTTTTTTAATTTAATGTAGGTATCCATGGGTTTCATTTTACATAAAATATCGAGCAAAATCTTATGCATTAGGAGAAATCTCCGCCAATAATGAAAAATAGTAAAATTTCAGATCTAATGATGAATACCGTCTCATTCTTCAACAAGAGAAAGTCGCCTCTTGGAATTTTTCACAAAATTTTCACATATTTCTGATAAGACACTCACATTTGACGGTTTGTATTCTTTTCAGTTCATTCAGTATTTAGTAGTTTAGGATTTTAGATTCGGTCCCCTAGGTACCCCCAGATCCAAACAGTTGAGATCTGACGAACGCGGAGGCAATAACTCTTTCCCTGAGTTGTTACATATTGAAAATTTGCATGGTGTTAATTTCATGTTATACTTCAAAATTCTCTATCCACTGGAAATGTTAATTGGTATTGTTAGAATCAATTTTCGAAGAAACACTTTTTGACACTTTTCTGAGGAGTTCGCGAAACTGTTTCACACTATTTGTGAAATCCTCATCAGTTCTTGAATTTATCACCGTGAAAAATTCACTGTTCAAGAAAGAACTTTATTTTGGACTTTACTTTACTTTTCAATTTTTAAGTTGTGTCATATTTTATTTCTCACGATATATTTCGCGAATCTAATTGTTTAATTGACCAGTGACACTTTTCGGACTCTTTATCTGTTGTTACAAAGAGACAGAGTGCTATGTCTCAAGAACTGTTAATCTCTAAAAACAACACTGTGTAATTATCTGGGTTTTTTTTATGTCCAAACATCAAAGCGTCATTGAGTTTATTTAATTAATCCATACCTGTGAATCTTTCACTCATTTTACTAAATGTCAACACCTGTCATTTATTTACTCATTATGTACATTCTTATAAATAGTCATGTATAATTTCAATCTTTAGTCTGGAATATACGAAGGCCAGTCTCGGCCACGTCCGACTCGTAAGGACTCTGAGTCCGGGGCCACTTCGGCCAGATCCGACTCGATCATTTTTTTAATATGTCTGTTTGTTGATTTATGTAAACTGTTGCCATCGTTGAGACTCATCTAATAAATACGGAATCCTTCATCATTTGTTTTATCTCTGAAATTGCATATTGGTGGACCTTCGGGAATACGGCACACCTATACTTTGTTTTACCTCACGGCCACACAGCGCCTCTACCTATACCTTGTACCCTCTACGCCAAACATTCCCTCACCCCGTTCGTTCTGCAAACAACGGATGCAGTTCCAGACGAATTCCTAAGTACCGTCCAAATCTACACGGTCACAATTCCTTGGTCTTCCGGGATTGTAATGTCTTTAATCACATATTGTCCCTGTCTTTGTAATCTTTGTAACTAGCCTTCTGAATAGCATCCTAAGCTTCTTTTCTTTGGCAACATTTTCCTTCATACGCCTCTGAGGGATTTTTTGCCATTAATATTTTTTGTTTTGTTTGTCAGATTTTTTTTTGGGAGGTCCCTTGAAGTTCCTTTTAAAACCGTTGCTACGGGCCTGATATTTTTCAGTCCTATTTAGTGTGTGTTTAGGGGGGGGGGGGGTTAAAACTTTTTCAAACAAGAAAAATTTTAAGTGCATTAACATGAAACTATTTCACCATACTGCGACAAAAAGTTTGGGGGGAGGGGGGGTAGCAATTCAATAAACATTTTCATACTAAAACGGAAAACATTTTGTTCCATGCCTCCTTGATATTATGTGGCTATTTCTAGTGTTTTGAAGGTGTATTATTTACCGTTTGTGAAAAATTTGTTTTCCTTTTCGCAAGTACACGAAATACTTTAATCCCAGCGAATTGGGCAAGTGTTAATTTATAATAAAGCAAATTTTCAAAGAAAAGAAATCATGTCATGAGTAAAAATATCAAAGAGCATTAGCCTCACTTCTTCAAAAAGGTTTTTTTTTAAGGAGAAAGGGGAGGGGGTTATTGTTGACATTTTCTGAATCCCAGACATTGTTAATTAAAACCAAGAGAGCATATATTTAACATATCGTAAACCTTTTTTTTTATTATTTTTTTTTTATTTTTTGCCATGTTGACATTTAAGATAATTTTAGGTCAACGTACAGTTAATTAATTTTGTGTTTATTAGTATGCAATAAAAATCCACAAAATGTCATTCCTTTGAAGAGAGTAATTTATGCCATGCATATGTGCCATCTTACTCGCAAGATTCAACCTAACTAAATTAGGAAGCAACTTAGTTAAACACATGATTCTTATTTAACAGAAAATGCTTATAAATTATTTTCCAAGACGTGTAAGAAAACCGTAAGCTATTAGCACCTCATAGGTTTGTTTGATGAAGCTAGATTGACTGACAGTTATTAACAATGCTCCTCCCCTTTTTTTGCACATGAACATAATTAGCGGGGAATATGTCTTTCAAAAAGAGAGCAAATATAATTATATATGCCATGACACTTCTCTTACTTAGTTACATTTCTATTCTAGATTTATCGCAAGTATTGTAACGCAATGAGCGTACAAATTATAATTTTAATTGATATATTAAGTTTGTACATTGAGTTTATTAATATTTTAAATATTGTGTTATGAATTATAATTGATACTATCAGTGTGTAGAGCGACGGACAATAACTCCTTAATTATGAACTTGTTTACAAACTCTGGGAGATTGGACACAATAAGAAGAGCGTCTTCATTTGACGGACAACATTTGATGTGCAAGATACACAATATTGATGTAAACAAAGAACATTGCCGTATCCTACAAGGAGACGACAGAGACGGAGCTTCGGTGAGGGGTGGACTATATCAATATATATATAAATGAAGTTACACTCTAGCTCACTAATTGCTATCACCAAATAATTATGTGATCCCTATGATGTAGCTTGTACAAAAGGTGTGCGCGCTGAGTATCAATAGCTTTTTAACATCTAAGCTCCTCTATGTGAGCTTTTTAACATCTGATTACATGTATGTGAGCTTTCATCATTTTGGCTCCGAGACCTTTTGAACTTTTCATGGACCATTGTTTTTGCCTTTGATGTGATTTTATAATAAAAATTAAAAACTTACAAAAGTCTTAATCCAAACACATTAATATTGTTTATATTAATGAAATCGGCTCATGCTGATTTTTAGAAACTGTTAATTATTACATGCCTCAACATTCATCTTGCTCAAACCTGTTACAACACCTTGATTTCTTAAAACGTCAGATGATAAAACAACTCCTGAATGAGCAGAAACTCAACGTGTTTCATTATTTATCAATAATGTCAAGGTAATATGAAAACGGTTGAAATCGCAAAAACTGGAAATGTAAAATTGATACACAGTTAATCACCTTATTTACAAAAAATAGTTTAACTGATTGGTGAGTTTTATACCTCAAATGATTTTTCACTATATAAGAGTCGATACATTTTGCGATTCGCTGAAAATCACCGTAAAAAGAATGATTCCCTACAAAAAAAAGTAGGTTTGTTTCATGAACTGATACATACCTATTCTTAGCACATAGAGCAATTTCTTTAATCCTAGTTCAGATATATTACGAATAAAGTCATGAATATTTATGATTGGTTCTATCAGTATAATAGTTATAAACAGTTAAACTAAAAAAGTATTTTTATGAAGGAGTCGATTATATTCCAGTTCCCAAAAAGCAAGACTATTTTTTTCTCGGCTTTGCTCGGGAAATAGATAAACTTTCGGGGAACTGGAATCGTGCCGAGTTCCCATGTCTTTATCTGTATATATACGCCGTATACCACATTCATATATGCGGTGTTTTTTAATGTGCAAGACGGAAAAGCGCACTGGTCAGTCCTTTTGGCTCTCAAGTGACCAATTGCTATCTGTTTTTGTCCGTCACCGTCCGTCGACTGACGTGCGTCGGTCCTAAACTTTTGACCAATTTAGCCTCTTCTTTTGAACCACTGAACCAATTTCAATTCAACCAAAATTGTGAAATTCATGGCCCCAAGGCCATGGGTTCGGGAGTTAGAGCGGGTCTCTAATGATCATATAGTGGAAATGCATAAATTCTTTAAATCTCTTCTCTCTCCTGTATATTTGGGAGATAAACTAGGTGTATGATTATTATGAGCAAGGATGCCTCTTCCAAAATTGTGAAATTTGTGGCCCCACGGTCACATGATCTGGAGTTAGAGTGGGGCTCTAATGATCATATAACAGTGTATATTGAAAATGCATAAATTCTTTAAAAATCTTCTTCTCTACCCTGTATATTAAACAGATAAATCAGATGCATGGTTATGAAGAGCGAGGTTGTCTCTTTCAAAGTTGTGAAATTTGTGGCCCCAGGGTCAGGGATTCTGGAGTTAGGGCGGGGCTCTAATGATCATATAGTGAAACTGTATAAATTCTTTGAAAATTTTCTTAGCTCCTGGGTATTAGACAAGCAATCAAACTTACTGCATAATTGTCTTTTCCAAAGTTGAGAGAACAAGAGAGACCAATGTAAGAAGGAATGAAATTGGTATTCTAATAGTGCTGAAGCACTTTTGTTTGGTTTAGTCAGAATGACGGTATTGACAAATGGGGGCAGATACAGACAAGTGAATAGATCCGCTTTAACATTTTTATTACTGAGTAATAGACTAATTATTTTGTTGATCCCTATCATCTGATTTTTCTTGCTTTTGGGCAACAAAGCTTAATAATCTATCAGTTTATTTTTGGATTACTTTATACTTCTGTGGATCCATTACAATTTGTATTATACTCAGGTGACCGTTAAGGTCCTTGGGCCTCTTGTTTTCTAATGCATTCTCATAATAGCCCCGTTTTTCATGAGGGGATATGATAAGATGTATAGTAATGGGGATG